AAAAGTTGATGGCTCATCAAGAACTAAAGCTTGCAAAATGTGCAGAGAAGGTAAAAAGAGGGCTAAGTATGATTCAGCAATGTAAGAGTCAATAACCAATTTGATATAAAAAGCTAATGACATGATTTGCAGTGATATGTATGCATTCAGTCTGCTTGCTTTCATAGGAGCTATGTTGAGTAATTCTTGATTATTTTTCTCTTGGAATAATGGAATAAAGTAGATGTGGATACTCTTTTATTGTTGAATAATAAAAGTGGGCAACCATAATGCTAATAAAATACGCTTGACTACAAACTTCTCGCAATTTGAAATCTAGTTAAGGTTCATATTACTTTGAGAGGAAGAAAGATAATACTTAATTTACTTTACTTTCCATTTCTTGTAGAATACAATAGACATTATGTGTCACAATCTAAGAGTGCTATGGTCACACAGGTGCAAGAATTGCCCAGCATGCGGGGAAGCACTTGCACAAAAGTATCCTGCAAAGACCAGAGTACAAAGCCGGTGACTTGGTTGCTGCTGTAAAGCAGGTTTGTATATGTGATTTTCTATTTATAGGTCATGCAGAATCATTGGGATAGATATCCTTTAAAACTTATAAGGCTTAGATGTTGATACACTGAAAGGGTCTAAAAATTATTTTTAGTTATGGCTTTCTCTTTTTAATGTGTTATTTGGCATTTTTAATCAGATAGCAATTTAATTATTCATGGAATTTGTGGACCTCTAGTTTACCCCTGAGATAGTTTGCTTGAATATGGCTTTTTATATTATAAAGTTCTTTGTTTCATATAGGGATTCCTAGACTTGGACCACTCAATGCAGACAGATGAAGTGCTGAAAGATGAACTGGCTGGGACCACTGCAATTTGTTGCATTTTACGAAATGGCGTGGCTTATTGTGTAAGTATTGTAGTAAATTTAAGAAAAGTGTGATGTCCGTCTTTTGAGGTTTCAAAAAATGATTTTTTTTTAGATGAACATATTTTAAGCTTTTGTTTTTTACATTGTCTTTTTTCTTTTTATCACACAACAAAATCTTTTTGGTGGGTTTTGCTACAGGGAGATTGTTGAATTATCAATTCATTATTAGGTTGCATGGCTTGTGAAAGAATATAGAGCAGTGGTTCCCAGTTTTTTTAACCCCTTGGTGCCGGGTGACGCCGATCGGCGTGTAAACAAAGCGCTCGAAAGCTGGCGTACAGCCAAACGAGCCGGCGGCGAGCCAGTGATTCGGGCTGATGTCCCCTACTCACGCGCTCAAAGTCGGCGCGCCGCCTTTGTTTGCTTAAGCGTAGAGTTTTTTTTTTTTGTTTTGTACACCCGGCGCCATTGGGTTAACATAAAGAACTCTTTCATATAATTTCCCACGGACATTGGGTTTTCTTCTTCCCTTTCTCGTTTTTAGCAATGACTTCTTTTTTTCCAGTTCAAACTATTGATTAAAATATTTATGTTGCAGAGTATGTAACTGATAAGTGGTCCCCCTCCAAAAAAGTTATGTTTATCATTAGTGGCTACATTGCGAGTAATTTTATATTTTATGCTGGAGTCTCTTGAATGTGAGCTATTTTTATGGATCCCTCTAGGTTCGGAGTAATCAGCTGGGAACCATTGGCTTAAGGCATCAGGTCATGTTTTTCTCATTAACAACATCATATAATTGATTGACCCATTTGTGCCGGGTAAAAATGAACAAAAAATGGGGAAAATGCTTTGCTCACTTTTTATATTTTTTAATTAAATTTCTCTACACTAGATGGCTCTGCTTTACCTGATTTCACCTTTACTTGAATTGATGGGAAAATGTATTTTTACTAGTGTTATGAATATCGGTGGTTATTTTTATTATAAACATTAGTAACAACAAAATAAGATAACGCAAAATAATTTCGTAAATTAAAGAAAAGGGTAAACAGGCGAGACAGGCAGTACAAGTACAAGTGTAGCCATCTATTTGTGTAAACAATCAAAGAAGTAAACTCGCAGTGAGCATGTCACGTATATGTGACACCCGGCGCGAATGGGTTAAAGGAGTTATACAGTAGTAGGATGTTTGTTAATGTGGGATGCCAAATAGCCTTAGCTTGCAATTTATAGATCATAGTTCTTATTTTGTGTATTTTCATTGATTTTCAGTCCCATCTGCTCATATGTTGCTATATTTATATACCTTAACACTATTTACTTATAATATGAAAATTCAGATATAGGTATCCTTCATCCATATACAAGAATAAGGTACACTGGATCAGAAAAGCATTGGTGTAGAGGGTGTCCGATGCTGTCTGAAAACGTTCACAGTTACTGGTGTTGTGGTTGGGAAGGGTTGGTATGTGTGACTGTGGTTCGTTTGGAAGGTCCGAATCACTTTGTTCATGGTTTGGAATAGTGTTTATGAAAGCCTACCATAGTCATTGTTGGCCAACAAGATAATACATTTGTTTCTATAAACACTAAAATAAGCTATATTGTTATATAGTGGTAAGGGGATATCAGTACTGGTAATTTCATGGCACCTCTGGACATCAGGGCTACTAACCTGTGGTATGTCAGACACCAACATTTCACTGATGTTCATACTGTTGTCCAAAATACTTCACCCACATAGTGCACTGATACTTTTGCGATCCAATGTACCTTAGTATCTGGTACGGACAGCTCCAGTCTGTATGGAGTATTAATAAACCTCAGAATGCATACATGGATTATCTTTAGCAGGTAAATGTATTGCTTATGTGTATTATTAACATTGCCAGGAAAGATATTCTTTTATAGTGTGCAACATTTGAAGACTTAAAATCATGCATTTTGGTTTTTGAAATTTTAAGTGTATTAGACATTATTTTTTACTTTTTAGAACGAAATTGTATTTGTTAAATTTTCATTTACTGTTCATTGATTATTATTCATTGTTGAAATTGAGACATGGCAGGATATTGAATTAAACTTAATCTTATGATGTATGAAGTACTAAAAACATTTTTTCTCTAGGATTATTTTCTACTGCGTATATGCACTATATCTATAAATAATTTTATATGAAGGACATAGGTCTGTTGAACTAGGTTTGAAAAGATTCTAATGATTTGATAGTAGGAATGCGGCACTTTACAACTGCAGCTTTGGCCCATTCCTTGGTGGATCTTGAAATATGATTACTGTCATACAGATGGGTAATTTCACTCCATTTATGATATTATGAATATATTATTGATCAAAGTATATTTCAAGAAATTAAGTTGTTTAGTTTGTCAAACAGACATTAAATAGAAATGATGATTTAAAGTAATTTGTTGTATAGCTAATGGAATGCTCTACTGCCTAAGACAGTGGTTCTTAACTGGGAGTATGAGACCAGTTCCTATGGGGTGCAAGGATGCCTATGAAAAATTAAAACAAAATGTATATTTGCATATGCATGTTATTTTGTGTGAGGAGAGAAAAAAAATTACTTTCAGGAAAGTGATACTGTTCTCCAAGGAGAACATATGCATCTGTAAGCTTTGTTAGCATTTTTTATGAATTTCAGCAATGCAGGGGATATGAGATTTGACTGCTGATTTTGAAAGGGTTCATACACTGAAAAAGGTTAAGAACTACTGGCTTAAGATAAGGCAATAATTCTTAACTCGTGCCAATCTTTTATATATATTTGCTTTACTTACTAAAGTAGGTAAAAAGGTCACCAGTGCTATCCATTCATAACTCCTGAAGTTCACCTGTTTCAATATAGTAGACTTATTATGTAGTGATAAAAGTTATTGTGACAGAATTTAACTCTTATACATAGGATTTCCCAGGATGATTTCAGTATGGATGTTTCTTTTCATAGTGAAATGAATAAGGATACTGTTAATTCATCTCTTATTTCCTCATTATTAGGGAAATGTAGGCGATTCCCGGGCTATAGCTAGCGTTGGTGGCCGCGTTGAAGAGCTAAGCAACGACCATAAGCCCAGCCTGGCCTCCGAGCAGCGGAGAATAACAGCAGCTGGTGGTTGGGTTGAGCTGAACAGAGTCAATGGAAACCTTGCACTGTCAAGAGCATTGGGAGATTTTGTGTTTAAGAAGAATGAAGAAAAAGGGCCTGAAGACCAAATTGTTACAGGTAAGGAGAATACTAATAGTGTAGTTTGAATATATAATATATCCTGTGATATTTAGTATTTCCCTAAAACATTCTGAAATGTGTTTTTGTTCTGTAGACATGCTTTTTTATGCTGTATATTTGAGAATTACAGACAGGTAATTAGGAATGGGAAGTGGATACATATTGTTGATTGTATAGGTGTTATTCTAGCAAGTCTGAAAGTTTTATTTATTTATTTATTTATATTTCTTAAACAATGATGACATTGATTTGAGAGAAGAAAGAAAAGTTAGTTTCATGATATCGATATGAAGTGAAACATCTTATCAATTAGAGAGAGAGAGAGAGAGAGAGAGAGAGAGAGAGAGAGAGAGAGAGTGTGTGTGTGTGTGTGTGTGTGTGTGTGTGTGTGTGTGTGTGTGTGTGTGCGTGCGTGCGTGCGTGCGTGCGTGCGTGTGTGTGTGTGTGTGTGTGTGTGTGTGTGTGTGTGTGTGTGTGTTTTTTGGATCCAGATGCTTCACTGTCCTCACATGGCCAAAATTTGGGCATTGGGGTTATGTGAGCGGACACTGCCGGGTGTGCAGCCTGTAGGCCAGGCATAAACAAACACTCGTATGGTCACAATACTCCATGCCTCCCCATTGTAAAGTTATTTTTTCTATTCCTGCATTTTGATATTTTTTTGCCCTTTTCCACTGTTTCTATTTTTCATTTGATTTGTTGCATTCAACTGATAATAGACTGTTTTCCTTTCACAGACTCCATATCATTCTCTAGGAAGTCTATAACTCAGTGCAATGATAATAACAATATGTAACATTTTGTTATTTATGTACTTGTAATTTTTTTATAATAATCAATTTCCTGCTCTACCAGCCATGATCAGGAATAAGATCCTGAACATGAAAATAACATCCTCCCTTGAGCGCTCTTCCAGGAATGGCTCATGGACATTACATTCCATACTCATTCATTGATGGAAGTAATACGAAAGTCCCTTTCTAAATGCCAAGTGAGAATAATCACCCTCCAAGAGCATTGTGTACTCATGGCAAGTCTTTCCTATCAGCTTAGCCTTCAGCTGAAATGTTCACAATGGCAAGTTTTCCCGTGATGTTCACATCACCTCCCCTTCAAGCCATATTTTAACACAACATGATCATGTCATCTGGATTTTGGAGGTTAATTTTGTGTGTTAAAGAATTTAAATATGTTAAGTAAAAACAGTGTGTTTAGTAGTTTACTAATGAAAATGATTATAGTATTCTCATGCTGTTATACCCAAGCAATTTATATGTGTGCATGCACACGCACACACATGCACACACATACTCATTCATACACATTTATACACATGCATACATATACACATATAAATTTGTTTTATTTATTTATTTTTCTTTGTGCAAATAGTAGACTTATTTACATTCTCATTTTCAGCCAATCCAGACGTAGAGGTCAGGGAATTGACTGAGGAGTGGGAGTTCATCATCTTAGCTTGTGATGGAATCTGGGATGTTATGACTAATCAGGTAAGGCTGAAAAGCATTATGGTATCGAGTGTTAGCCCTACACTTTTCTGAATATTGATGACATCTGAGTTAAAAAGATGAGAAATAAACATAGATTTTCTGAAGAATTGCATCAAAGTTGGGTACATCATAAAGTAAAGTTTTTATAGTATAAAATAAACTAATGGCAACTCCATAGACAAAATGGTTTCAGAAGCCATTTTGTGACAAAGTGAGTATTATTTCAGGAGGTAGTCAGATTTTTTTGTATTTTCTTGTAAACTACATAGATCTGAGTATGGCTTTGGAAGTTGACAGAATATGGTTTCGGGCAGTATATAGTACCTAATATTTATCTTGGAAAATTTTGAGCTAGGATGATGTGGTGATTAAAAGTCCCCTATCACGCATACCTTTGCTGTGCTTCTTTGATTTGGAAGTTCTCTCTTTGGGGAATGCATAAAGGATTACTGAAAGGATAGCAATTTATTGATGTTCCTAAAATCTTGTGGTGTCTGGCAGAGTTTCATTTTGGCAGTTAGTGAGTTGTATGTCTTTGAAGTTAGCTTTGTATGAAGCATTTTCGAAAACAGATTTAGTAAGCTGTCCTTATTAACCACTGAGCTACCTTGATTTAGTACATTGGTAATATGCACATTGAAGCCAAGTAGCCTTGATTAACCCAATGGCGCCGGGTGTACAAAAGAAAAAAAAAACTCTACGCTTAAACAAACAAAGGCGGCGTGCCGACTTTGAGCGTGTGAGTAGGGGACATCAGCCCGAATCACTGGCTCGCCGCGCTTTGGCGCGCAGCCGGCTCGTTCGGCGGCACGCCAGCTTTCGAGCTCTTTGTCTACACGCCGATCGGCGTCACCCGGCACGAAGGGGTTAAGAATAACTAGCAGGCTTTTAAAAACTAGCAGGCTGTTTTCCAGCTTCTTATTTTGGTGTGAATGAGTGTAATGTAATGCTACACACTGTAATGCTGCACATTGTGTAGCATCTCTCCAGCCTGGAAACCAAATAATGCTATTCTCCCTATCCCTGTACCACTTTCTACCCCACTGGGCCTATTCCTGTGTGCCTGGGTGGCTTCTCCTCTCAACCAGTCCTTCTCTAAATCATCGTGGAAATATTTGACATACCAGCACAAGATTACATTATCTAGTGAACATAATTGAGCTCTTCACACATTAACTCGTAACCTCTAGATAACATGGGGTTCACATCATGGCTGACTTGTTTGTTGCTCCACGTGACGGGTCATTCATGTCATGGCTGACTTGGTTGTGGATCCGGGTGACAGGTCATACATGTCAAGTTACATTTTATACTGTCCTTTATAAGGAACCCTCATGCCTCCACCATACACCCTGGGGCATTGCATTAAGGAGAAGGAAGTGACAAGCTATCTTTTAAACACTATTACTAGATTTTGACAAAGAGCATACTGATTTAGATCGTTTACAAAGATGTACATATATATGTGTGCATTTTCTGTCCTTTTATTTTTTACTGGCTATCCCTGTAATCTGTAATGCATAGTGTTAATAAACATTCAATATCAAAATTGAAGACAGTAAGAAGGTATTGTTTTATAGCACTTATAAATTTTTATCTTACTAATCATTAACTCACCAGATCTGAGGGATGTGGATGTTTTGTCATGGCTAAAAAATTAGCCAAGGGGAAGATGACAAGAAAGTTTTGCTTTAGGAAATTCTTGCCAAGTAATGGGTGATGAAGACTTCTTGTCATGAGTGCACAAAGCACTTGAAGTGAGATTGGTTCGGCTAGCTTTCAGAAAGGGCCTTGTTCAAGAGTTTCGCAGGATTTCCACCAGTTCATCCTTCTCCTTTACCTCCACACCTGCATTCTGCCCTGATAACA